GTCAGGGTTTTGCCGTGTTGCCCAGGCTGACCTCAATCTCCTGGGCTGAAGCAGTCGTCCCACCTCTGCGTCACAAAAGGCTGGTATTACTGGCGGGAGCCACTGCACCTGACCGATAAATGTTTATTTTATTAATATTATTTTTTGAGACGGAGTCTCACTCTGTAGCCCAGGCTGGAGTGCAGTGGTGCCATCTCGGCTCACTGCAATCTCCGCCTCCCGGGTTCAAGCAATTCTCCTGCCTCAGCCTCCCAAGTAGCTGAGATTACAGGCGCCCAACACCACGCCTGGCTAATTTTTGTATTTTTAGTAGAGATGGGGTTTTACCATGTTGGCCAGGCTGATCTCAAACTCCTGACCTCAGGTGATCCACCCACCTTGGCCTCCCAAAGTGCTGGGACCACAGGTGCAAGCCACTGTGCCCAGCCTTGTCTTCTTTATAGCATTAAGAGATCATGCTTTTTATGGAGTAAGAAACTATAAATACCACTCCTTGTTCATATTTCCAGAAATCTCTTTTATTTCTTTAGATATATAAAACACTGTTCTTTTATATTCTCTCTGATAATTCCAGGATCTGGGTCTACAGAGTCTATCTGTTGCTTCTGCTGGGTCTCATAGTGTGTTGTTTCCTGTGGTGTTTATGAATTTTTAAAACCGGAGATCTCATTTTCTTTTTTCTTTTATTTTATTTTTCTTTTTTCGTAGAGATGGGGTCTCTCACTGCGTTGCCCAGGCTGGTCTCGAACTCCTGGCCTCAAGTGCTGGCATTCCAGGCGTGAGCCACCACGCCCGGCTGAGATGTTCCTTTTCCTTGGAACTTGATCAACACAAAATCCTGAGGCCTGGTGTGGTGGTGTTCCTCTGGGGCAGATTCTCAAATGGGGACACTTCTGCCCCCAAAGACACATTTTGACATCCTGAGACATTTCTGGGTGTCATAACGGTGTGCACACACATGTATGTACCTGCACACGCTACTGGCACCTCATGGATAGAGCCCAGGGACGCTGCTCACATCCTGCAAGGAGACTGACCCGCCCTGTGTCCTTAGGGTGGGCTCCCGGCAGGGTCTGCATGTTCCTCTGCCAGCCACCTAGACCCTGCCAGCCGGGAGCCACTTTAAATTCTCCCCTCGTGGTCTCCAGGGCAACACACTAGCCTGATTTCAGGCTGTAAACTTGGAGGACCTATTTTTTTTCACCTTGCACGGAATACCAAGGCTGAGAGGCAGTTTTTCTGGAGGTGCCAGCCTGTCTCACATTTCCGCTTTAGCTGCGGGGTCCAGCTCTGTGGGCGGTCTCCTGATGAAGTCACCCCGGGACAGACACTGTTCTGTCTCCTGCTTCCAGCCCTCTAAAGATGCCAGGATCCCCCAGGGCATGGCAGGCACCCTCAAAGGCAGACGTGGGGAGGCGCTGGTGGGCAGACCCCAGCCTGCTGATGGGGGGGGGGGCTTCTCCCCGGCTGCCACTGGCCCACCCACTGTGCTGCAGTCCACCTGGTGCTGGGGGTGTGGGGCACAGGCCCTCAGGATCCGCTCCCTTTCCTGCCCAGGAGATCCAGGCCTGGCATCCTTATGTCCCCTGGAAAGCCCACTCCCATCCTCAGGGTAGGAGGGCAGCTGCACGCTGGGCTGGCTTGGGCCTGTCCTGGGACACCCCTACAGGCCAGGTGCAGCCGGGGATGTGGCTCAGTGGGGTTGCTGTGGGCAGGTTAGCATGGAGCTGGGTTCCGGAAGGGAGTTGCCCCGCTGCCTGCCAGGACCCCTCCTCTGAGACAGGTGCCTTGTGGGACCGTGTACCAAAGTACCCTGGACATGAGGGGTTCCTGTGCCCCACACACAGACCCCACATCGGGTTCCTGCGCCCCACACACTGACCCCACATCGGGTTCCTGCGCCCCATACACTGACCCCACATCGGGTTCCTGCGCCCCCCACACACTGCCCCCACATTGGGTTCCTGTGCGCCCCACACACTGCCTCCCCTTCGGGGCCCTGGGCTGCAGAACCCATCCATGATGTTGCCGTGCCCCTGGTTCTGGTAGCACTGGGGCCCTCCAGGCTGGGCTGAGCAGGGGCCCCCCACCAGTGTGTACCCCAGCACCAGCGGGAGTGGGCCTGGGCAGGGGGACAGAAATGACACCCAAGGGGACCTGCTCCAGCCTCCTCCTGTCCCCTGGGGGTTCTTGTTTTCCTTGGCTGAGGGAAGTGGCCTCTCCCAGCTGAAACCTGGGGTCAGGCTGGGCATAAGAGGAAAGGGGAGTGAGCAGGACCTCAGACCTTGAGAATCCTGAGTGGGGGGGGAC